GGGAATGCACCCCCACCTGTGCGGGGTCGGAGCTGCTGGAACTACCTGTGTCTGCTACCGAGGTACAGGGTCCGGGTCACGGACGTAACAAATATTATGTTTATTCAATATTTATCTTTTTAGCAAACACTTTTTCCCGTAAGTCCAACAAGTTCACTAGCAAAACAACAGAAGAAGAGACCATGAGCGAGTCAAGGGGTGGTGGTTAGTTCAGACATGTCTGTAAAAACAGGGCAGGACTGAACACTGTAGATGTTTTTAGACAGCAGAGATTACAGCTAGGAAGTTGAAGAAAATCACCCAGGTTTTGTTTTCTTATACCTATAGTGAAGCTGAATATGGAAAGTGTGTCCAGGAATATGTTTCTGTGTTAGAGGAAAGCTCTGAGACGAGGGAGAGAATCAGCAGTGGAGCTCCCATTTAATATTTAATCAAACTGAAGGTCTCTTCTGATGACAAGCTCATGCAGCTCAACTGTGCTATTTAATCCCTTTTAGATCAAAGTTTTGGTTTTATAAAAAATAGGTTCATAACTGTTTACCTGCTTGTCAAATTGTTGTGGAGTTCCTCTGGGTCCAAAAGAAGTTATAAGGCTGCTTTAAATGACAGTGGGGCAGATATTTCGTCCCAGTGCTTCTTATGTTTCCATCCCTTTGTTGATGGGGTTGGTTGGTGATATATCAGATAATGTCACCCCTTTCATCCTTAATACAACAGTACTGGTCCCTATTCGCATCCACAGTTCGAGATCATCTCTGCGAACATTAAGGTGAAACCGCCTGTGTTCTGATTTTTTTCACCGGCCTGAAATGCTTATTCTTATCAGAGCTGTGATGTGTTGCCCTCCACTTCCTGTCAAGCACCTGGCACCTACAATAAATGAAGTCATCTCTAGGAAACAGGAGCTTTATTGTCACGTTCTTGTCTTGAAATGACTGATCTAGCAGCAGAAAACGAAACGGCCACATTCTCTGAAAAGTAAATATGGGGAAAAAATAACATCAGAAAATCCAAAATCAGTTCAGCATCGTCGTCAGAACTCGAAAAATCTGAGTGTGAAGTACAAATGTGCACACAGTATATCTACTGTGCTGCCATGTGATCAGTAAATAGCCCAGCCACCAGACTCGCTCCATCTGCAGCTCTGGGCCTTCACCGTCTGCAGGCTCGACGCTGAGACTGTGAGGCAGAGTGTGCATGTCTACAGCCCTTTTCACTTGGTACGTTTAAAATAGAGGAACAAATAAATGAGTTGTGAAAATGCTAGTGATGATACATGAAGGAGCCTTGTGTATGATAGGAAAGATCATATCATAATCCTATTTTCAGAAGAATAAGACGTAAATGCTGCAATGGTACAAAGGTTTTCTGCCTGGAACCTTGTCGGATCCCCAGGAACCCTCTGAACATAAGGTGTATATTTTATGTGCAAAAAACAAAGACAAAACTGACAGCAACAATCTCTTTCAGCCTTTGTTTACTGACTTTTTATAAATAATCAGTGTCAGAAAATGAGTTTACCACCTGTCTTTTAGTATTGCTGTCAAGATTTGAGTATTGGTTTTGGATGTTCTTTGTCTGCTGGATAGAGGAACAAGAAGTTTTTCTTGTGCTGTAACTGACAGGTCATAGGTTCAAATCCCACAAGAGCCAAAGTTTCTATCAAAAGCCACAGTTGTTCCCTCTGCCCCTGCATGTAAAAACCCTAAACTATACTCAAAGCTGTCATTCTGATTTCTGCTCTTAGCAGTTTTTTAAAATTGTTTTTTTAATGTAGTGTAAATGTACCTCTGGCCTTAAACTGTTTCTAAGGTGTAAGACTGCTTTAGTACCAGTCTGATGGCAACGAAACACCGGCAACAGTAACTGTTGGGCTCCAACCAGCGATTATCTGTTAATCTGCTGATCATTTTCTTGACTGTTAATAAATTAACCTGGCAGTAGTGGAAAACAGTGAAAACATGTCTCACGTCACGTCTCCAGAGCCCAAGGAGACGTCCTCAACACTCTATGACCCAGAGATATCAAGTTTACAGTTGTATAAACTGATAAAAGGAAAAAAAAAAACTACACATTTGAAAACCTGGAACCAAGGAATGATTTCCATGTTTGCTTAAAAAAGTAAATGAATAATCAATTATTGTATCAAAACATTTGCTGTTTAATTTTCTAATAGTGTTGCAGCACTGCACCAGGGAGGGCGACTTTAACGAAATGTCACGTTCATCATCATCGTCATCTGAAGCAGCACAGACAAAGAGAGCTGTAAAACACACAGATATGTAGAAACTGCCTGAAACTGTTGCCGGTGTCTCTGTGTCCTGGTCTGAATTCCCAGAGCAGTGCTGGACTGGACTTAAAGGACCATTCTGTGGTTTGCCATTAGAGATCACTCTGAAAATCAGGTGAACTCCACAGGCCTCATTTCAGAAAATCAACAGTAAACAATCAGAGAATACTCTCAGACACAGTAGTTTTCTGCCAATGAAAAACCACAGGAATTGTCCTTTAATGTTTAAAACCTTGGTAAAACATAAGGTTTATCATTTATGAGTGCTTTTGACGCCAAATGTGGTCTGCAGTGGTGCAGATGAGTTTCACAATAATATGTTGGATTAATTGTCCAGTAAATAAGGTTTTGTGACTTTTTAACAGCTAAAGAGCTTCGGGCCCCACCTGCATGACACTCCGAGGAGATTTAAACAAACAGACAGACTCACACCTGCTGTTTCTGGAACAAAAATGTGCAGCATCATAACATTGTGAGGTACTTTGCCTTTATTACCTCAACTGCTATAAATACTGAGTAGCATTAATAATAGCCTTTAGCAGCGCCCCCTGTGGTCACAGAATATGTTCAGCAACGGCTAAACTCAAGTCTCGATCCTGATCGTTTCACACATGCTACATTTCCGCTATTGGAAACTAACGAGTGTTACAATCCGTACTTACCTTAACCGTCACAAAGCATAAGCTCCCGGATTGACTCAGACCGCTCTGCTTTGGCTTTCGTATTGTATTTTCTCTCTGTCATTCTTTGTTTAGAAGAGGGAGGGGCTGCTCCTCTCTCACACACTCAGTCAGCTGTGCGTTTAAACCGGCCCCACGCTACAGAATATTTCACCCTTCCCAACAATAGTGGGGATGTTCCCAGTTGTGAGGCCACTTGGAAGCGAGTCTCAGGCCAACTGATTCTGTAACTAGGTATTGAAAGACCTAATCATTAGGCGTCCGACAGGATCGGTGGCTCCCAGTCTTGAGTTATAAATATCAAACATGTTTGATATTTATGACTTGGACGCCTGTAGTGTGGGGGCAACAGCGAATGAATCCTCACCAGACACCTACAACAGCCAGTGACAGCGAGCTGGTCAGTTATAGCATTAGCTTGCACTAGCCTCCTTGTTTGAGTAATACAACTTTATTTCTAACTCACCTTCGGCTCGTGCTGCAAAATGTGTAAGCCATGTTGATTTCATCTCAGCCAAGACTTTATCCACAATTTTTCTCCTCTCTTTTTTCTCTGCACAAAACATAGCACAGACGAGCGCTACTGTTTAGAGACAAATGCCCACAGTTTTGTTTTGTTAAATCACATTTCACACGTGAGATCTGTGCTCCCTGGAATCGTCTCTGAACGTCTCGGACATTTAACCAATCACCGGCGACTGCTCTTCTCGCATGTACCCCCTCTCCTCTCATGTTCCCGGTACTCGATTTTAGTAGTACCTCCTGAATGGTGCTGAAGTTTAGCTCCCACGTCCAAACCAGGCACACCGTATTGGAAACGCAGACCCCACAATGAGCGTTACTCAGCTAAACACGTTTCGGTGGGTTCCTGTAATGGAAAAACCCCTACAGTCTACTTGTGGACAGATTGTGAGACAATGGGCCCCTACCTCTCCTAAACTTCTGAGAGCAAGACTTGCACATTGAGCAACCATATTTTGTTGTCACTTTGTGTGTCCATTTGTAGTTGTTTAGCATCTGTTTTTAGTCGTTTTGTGTTCATTTTTACTTGATTTGCATTTCTTTGCAGCCGTTTTCCCTTTTTGTTTACACATTTTTGCTGTCTTTGGGGTCTTTTCTTTTTGTTTTTAGTCACTTTCTCTCAGTTTTTTGTGGTTTTGTGTCTCTTTGTAGTTGTTTTGCACTTTTCTCCCCCCTTGTTTTCTAGATTTTTGTAGTTTTGTAGTCATTTACTTGACTTTCCACAGTTCTGTGATCTAGGGCCCCCTGACCCCTTGGGCCCCTGGATGCTTAACTTGTGATGCAGGTTGTTGTTAATACACCTGCAAAGTGTCACTGAAATAGAACAATACAACTACAAATGACATGTATGTAGTCTCTTCCACTCTGGGTGTCTTGCTCTTATTTAGGAGGGGACACAGGCCTTTTATTGTTTTGTAATAATAATAATAATCCATCCACAATCATCCTTTGTGACCCCAACATACCCGCCAAGAGAAACTACTGTTCTTAAAGTCACAACAAAAATCTAATGACCATCATAAA